CTTAACCTTCCCAGGATTCATTTCAATTCTAAACTTCGAAGATTCTCACCTGCCTCCCCATTCCCCAGTGATTTCTTTTTGCTGCTTTAAAGATACGTGAAAACCATTCTTTCCTCCTCCTATCTCACTGGGATTCCATGACTCAAAATAAACCCCTCCTCTGACTGACAAACTCCCATTTCGTCAATGTGCTTATTCTCCTCTGTCAATGTGCTTATTCTCCTCTAAGTGTGACAAATAAAAAAATCTGATGAGATCAAAGGTGTGGGCAATTTTTGAATGGGAGCAGCAACTCAGAAAAAATTTTTAGTAAGTTTACAGGTACAAATTTTTAATTTAAAGTTAACTTTATGAGCTCCATGGAAAAAATGTATAATCTTACAACTTAGGTAACTGATTTTATTTGACTCAGTCAATAAGAAAACCAGCAGTGTTTTTACCTCCTAAAATATTCATTCATACCTGAGCATATTTAAGATAGTAACACAGAAGCAGCTTTCTAATCTTCCATCCGTTACACTTGTACAATGCTTTAAAGTTCAAAGTGTATTTCTATGCATTATTTATTTTCATTCTCAAAACAAGTAGATGTAGTGCTCACTATTGATTGCCTCTCTAACATCCATTTCCCCCATATTCTTCCTTCTCACACTTTTTTTAAATATCCTCCCTCCACCATGTAACTGAGGGAAATAAGACTCCGTTCCCAACTGCAGGGGATATATCCTGGTTAGTAGACACCAACCATGATAACACTATTCCCCTTGCCATAACTGGTTAGGAAGTGTACATGACCTAATTCCGGTCAATAAAACCTGAAGAGAAAAGTATGCTGGTAGGCTTGTGCAAAAGATTTCCTGGCCAATGCACACCTAGATGTGATCTTGCTCTTAGCCAGAGGATGAATCCAATACACAGAGCAGAGCAGAGCCAAGAAAATCACAGAGCAGCAGACCAAAGTTCTGAAAAACTAGCCCTACCTCCATATGTCAGTGTTCCATTTTCAGTAGCTACTATATTTCAGGCATTGTAATGTGGCAACGCTGAGATAAATAATATACTCCATCTACCTTTCCTTCCCCAACCTGGACCTCCTTCTCCTACACCTAAAAGTTCTCCTTTCCATTTAGGCTGCGGTACCTACTGTAAGCTGTTAGACCACCATGCTTTGCACCAAACTAAAGTGCTCTACACATCAAGGGCATGGCATTTCCTCTTCCAAGGGACAATTTCCTCTACCAATTCAGTCCAGCAGTCCCTACTCAGGGTGAAGAGATGTTGGAATTATAAGAGGGCTCCTCTCTAAGCCTGGCCCTGTATAAAAGCTGAAAGGTAGCATATGAAATCAGATGAGGGACCATATTAGGAAATATGTTAGAACTGTAGATTGATCACGAGTAGATAATTTAAAAATTCACCCTAATGTATGAATGACTATAGGTTCAGGAATACCAGAATTTATTTCTTTTTTAAAAGAGGATGCTGTCAAATAAATCTCTAAGAGAGAATATAAACTGGGTGATAGTTTAGAAGCTGATACCCTCTTTAATATGTTATTATTAACCAACAGCTCATAAATTAGTTAAAAAGGGGAATCATAAAAAAAAGTACGTGCCTTCAACATTTTATTGCAACTAAAACATAAAAATGTACATTCAGCAGACAATCTTTTAATGCAAGGCTAATGCCTTTTCTTCAAGTATGGGTCTATGGATTCTAGTTCTATTTTTTCTTGCAAAAATCACACCCATAGTACATCACCTGTGACTTCCAGTTTCTGTTTCTTAAACATGGAAAGACATCTCACAAACATTTAAAAGCAGTCTTAGTCAAAGGATCTTTTTAGATTTTTTAGGGTTTTTTCCCTAATTGTTTAAAGTTATTTCACCTACACCTATTTCAACTGTAACTGATTTTAGCTACTCGCCTGTTTTCAAAGCAGACACTGGTTCTCATACAAACACCTTTTTGCCTTCACAATTCAGTGAATAATGTTTTATTAAACTATGTAACTACAATATCAAGTATAATTGCCATTAACAATTTGTGGGTTACAAACGCAAATGACTGTTTGTTAGTGTACAATAGTGGTGAGAATATAAGTTCGAGAACAAACTAGGGAGTAGTCTGCTGCCACTCAGTCTGGCATGGGGATCAAGCAGTAAATGAAAAGTATCATTTAATCTTTTGAGTGGGTTCAGCAGAGGTAAATTAAAAGAGATTCTCCTGTAACAGGCCATTCCCAAGAGTCTTTGCTTATTCTACCCACCAATCAACCCTCTAACAACTCATATATATACCAGCAACTTCTGAATGTAAGAGAAGATTTACATGGTGCCTACTATGTGCCAAACATCATACCTTGGCCCTTTACATGAAATTTCTCAGTCTTGATGAAAAGCATAATGGCAGAATAACTCTCTGCCAATTTTTTTTTTTTTTGCAAATGTAACTAACAGCTTAAAAAAGTAGTTCAATACAAAATTAGCTAAATAAACGTACTAAGTCTGAATACAGCTAAAAGTATGACATTACCTCACTAAAAGAAAAAACACTAGAAATTTGTGTTTAGGAAAAAGAATATCTATCATGAGATTTTACCTAATTCTAGTGAAAGCTATAAAAAAGTAGACATGAGGGGCTGGCCCCATGGCCGAGTGGTTAAGTTCACGCACTCTGCTGCAGGCGGCCCAGTGTTTCGTTGGTTCAAATCCTGGGCACGGACATGGCACTGTTCATCAAACCACGGTGAGGCAGCGTCCACATGCCACAACTAGAAGGACCCACAACGAAGAATATACGGCTATGTACTGGGGGGCTTTGAGGAGAAAAGGAAAAAAAAAAATATTTTTAAAATCTTTTAAAAAAAAAAGTAGACATGATTTAGCTATATGTGAACATATAGCTATAGATTTTCATTAAATTAAAACTACGTGACATATCATTAGTAAAGAAAATGACCAAAATGTGTCTCATCTACCAAATACATAAACTCTTCAAATTCATTGTTAAGAATTCTTTCTTAGAAAAGATGGGCAGGGAGTGGCAGGAAAGAATATAACCAGTCACTTACCATAGTTTAAGAACAAATCACTACACACATCCTTAGGTCCCATAATAGGAGGAAACCCAAAGATTTATAGTTTCTAAATCTCAGCTTTGAGAAGGGAGCTGGAAAAAACAAGGCTAACAGCAGCCTCCACTGTGTCTCTAAAACTTATCTATCCCACCTCTCTCTCTCATTCCATATATTCTGAGTAGTTCACAGGCTCTCCAAAGTCACTTCACATTAATGGATAATATACACTTGATTTCTACACATTAAGAATCCCAAGTATGGTTCTGTCCTGCAGATCAGCACAAAAGTGATACTCTGAGGTAGCTTAAGTTACTGAAACCATACTGTCTGCTCCTACAGAATCTCTACAATTAAGGAACTACAGACACCCCAAAACTGCCATTTCCAAAGAAACTGCACCTTGAAGAACCAACACCCAGACATATACTAACAACACCAATGAATACCACCAGGTGCCAAGTGCATGAGAAAAGACAAAAAAGGAAGACGGAAGATTAGCAAAAACAGATCACTGGTGGTTTAAGATTTTGAAGTGAGAAAAAAACTGATTGAAATATGCATTCTGATACTTGTAAGATATATCTTAAACAGATTGCTTAAACTCTAGAAGACGCTATCTCCTACTGTCAAGGGCCAGGGTTACACCACCTAACTCATGGAGTTGTCTTAACAGTATCATTTATGGCCCCTATACAAAGCAGGCACTTAATAAATTGTAACAGATATTGCTGTTATTGAGAAGTTCAAGATAACACAAATCTTGTTATAATGTAAGTCCTTTTTGAACACTAAAAGGGGAATGGTTAGTAAAAACCGTCAAACAGTCTTCCCTGTAACATTATTTTACATGGACTTAAATACTGGTGTTGTGAGGGTGATATTTTTCTAAGCACTCCTTTGATAATGATTAAGTTCGGGGTTAAATTATTTTAGGGTCATCTGATATTTAAGATGACTAAAAACCTTATACATATTTATCTGAAACTGTGGGAGCTTCTCATTTTATCATCCCACTGTTATAGTCAATTCCCTTCGTATGTAGATTCCTTACATTTCACATTATCCATAACAAATCTCACGTGCAAATGTATTAACAATAATATAACTCTCCAGTGACCTGTATTTTATTTTGTTATTTAATATTTCAGTATTCTATTTAGTTAGATACATCCTTTTGGGAAACCCTTTGAAACTAAATAACTACTTGTTTCATTCTGAAAAAAATGTGAACCAATAAACTCCACTGGAATAATGGTCTATTCCCAGCATGGGGGGGATTACAGAGGGGACACAGAAAAGTAAATAGAGAGCTTCCCGTTTCTTCCTGAGTCACATTTTTACAATCTGGATTTCTTTCATATAAAACCAATTACCAGCTTACCAGACACACCCATATGCAAATACAAGTAAAGAAATATGACAAAGCCACATATGAACTGTTTTAGATTATATAGTTTTCTGCTTTCCTCCATTAGCGTGCATGATAACAAGCTGACTATTCTGTTATAATCTGTTTCTTTAAACTTAGATTCTTATTTGCCTACCTACTCCCTATCGGCAGAGAATCTATACACTTCACACCTCAAACTGACTCATTTTTAAATACAAGGCATTCTGGACTTCCATGGCCTGATCTCCACCTACTTTCAGAGCTTCCCCTCCCACAAAGACGTCCTGGCACAGCAGCCTTATGTCCAGCTCAACAGGCCCCGTAATACCCAACCAACACGCCTGTGCTCTGGCTGTTCCTTCACCTAGAAAAATACCCCCATACATATGCCCCCATTTTGCCTATTAAAATATTTTAAGGCCCAAATGGAGTGTTACCAGCTCTAAACTCATTCATAATTCCCCAGTCAAAAATTAGTATCTCTGTCTCGTACACACACATACACACACACCCCCCCATGCTTCCACGCACCTCTGGTAAAACCCACAGGAGTCTTGTGTTGCAATTATTTCTGTGAATGTCTGCTTCTCCCTTGAAGGCAGCTACTGGGTCTCATTTCATCTTCATATTCTACCCACGCTTCCATCCTTACCACATAGTAAAGGTCCCTTCTACGGAGTAAAAGTCCAGATTGAATTAATTATCCCTTGATTCTAATCCCAGCCCTTTTATTTGAAGGAATAAATGATTTTCATGAGTTGAAGATTTTGTTAATAGTTAATTCCTGCAAATCTAATAATGAAAATGCCAATAATTACATAATGTATTAATTTTTAAGTTGATGAATGGCAGGTCAATGAGCACAATAAATCAGCAGTAAACATAATCATTTTCTAAGATCCCCCAAAAAAGTCTCATATGTATCAACATTAAAATTAACCTTTCTGTCCTCCATCCTAAGAACTACTTATACCTGATGCATATCCAGAAATACAAGCTCCCTGAAAGCAAGTGTCTATACACTCTAAGAATCTATGCCAAAGTCATGCAATTTATTTGATATCATCTTTCTTCAATGCCCATAAATATAATTTTCATCTTTTGTGTAATTATAAAGGCTAACGTATACAAAATATGAAGATAATTTATCTTAGCTAAGAATACAGTCGGAGCAAAGTTTAGGAATAAATATAAAATTATTCCAAAAATTATACTGAGCACATCTCTCCACGCCCTCCTCAAAAGTAGCTATTAGGAATGTCACAAATCAGGTCTGATTTTTGATGAAAAATGTTTTCTTGAACCGGCCTCACATCTTTCTAATTCTAAATCATTCTTATTATAATCTTTGTGATATTTTTCTTCTTATATATTTTAGGGATACCAAATATTCTTCATAAATATATACTAGGCTTTAAAATTAGGTATTTTTAATTTTAAAAGATATTCCAACAGATATAGTTCAACATCTTTTACTATCTGTGGGCAAATGTCATTCATATCACAAGAAATAATTGCGAAAGTAAACGAAACGTGTTGATTTATTTTTTTTTACTTATTAAAAATCAGCAGGTTTTTAATTTTCCAATTAAAGTCGATGTTCTAAAACAAAAGGTGAAAAAGGGGTCGGTCACTTACTGACCAGCCTTGGTACTCATTACAACAGAGTTAAAACTAATTCGCACAGTGTAGCAACAGTAGCCATCTCCCACAAAGAGACTCTCTCTCCCACCCATTAACTTTTCCTCCTTCCCTGGGAGAACTGGAAGGATCATAACATAGGCCTAACTACCCCCACCCCACGGGCAAACACACATCTCCATCACCGCCCCGCAGGAAAGAATGTGGGGGCTGTGGACCAAGAGAACCGACGCTTCTGTGTGTCACTTCCCCTGCATGTGGGATAAACAAACAAACCAGCACAGTAACAGTAACCAATAGAGTAATTTTGTTACCCCCGACTAATGGCTTGGTTAAGTTTTGAGCTAAGTCAAAAGCTCTAACAAAAAGGTAAATCCTTGCCCCTCCCCTTTAAAACAAACACCCCAACGGGAAGTTTACCCCCGAAATGAACGCCGGCCCCTGACACCTCCTTCCAGCAGACCGCTGCCTCCCCCGCCCCCCGGCCCCAATCCCCCACTCCGAAGGTAATTGTCTGGACACAAGCAAAGCGCGCTGGGGCTGCGCTCCGACCTCAAAACCCCTCCCGAAAGAAGCCCCCGCCTTTTTTCCCAGCTCGCCCACCTCCCTGCCGGCCCCTCTCGGGCCGCGCCACTCCGGCAACTTCTACAGCCAGCCCGCCCGCCGCCCGCGACCCCCTCCCGGCCCAGCGAGCCCTCCGCGCCCTCCCCCGCGGCCGCGGCCCCCGCGCCGCCCGCGCCTCCGCGCCGCCCGCTCGGGTCCTCGCCCCCTTCCCCCGAGGCCCCCGCCCGCGGCACCGCCCCCGCCGCACCCCACCCAGCCCGGGACCCCAGCCCACCCGGCCCCACCCGGGAAGGAGGGAGCCGCGGCCGCGCCGGGGCCCGCGGGCGCCAACACGGAGAGGGCTTTACCTCAGAGGCGCGGCCGCGAGCAGCGGGGTCGGTCCCGGGCGCGGGCGGCGCCCCCCGGTCCGTCCGTCAGCGGCGGCGGGGGCAGCGGCGGCGACGGCACATCACACCCGCCGGGGCCGGAGGAGGAAAGCGAGCCGCGCAGGGAGGGAGCGAGCGAGAGAGCGAGGTAGGGGGGAAGGAACGAGCGAGGGAGGGAACGCCGCTCGGCTCGGACTCGGTCCCTGCACTACTGCCGGTGCCTCCTACCGCCGCCTCTGGCCGGAGAGTCGCCGCCCGAGTCGCTGCTGTCGCCACCGATGCAGCCGGGAATGAATGCACAGCGGCGCCTCACTTATCCGGAGGTCAAACATCCTTCTGCCTCGGGCATCCGGATCGGCGCCGGACCCGGAAGTGAACACAAGGAAAAAAAAATAAAAAAGGAAAGCGTCTCTCTAGCGGCGGCGGCCCCGGAGCTGCCCGCATCGACGAAAAGAGCCGAGTAGAGCCGAACATTACACTGACGTGCTCGGATTGGTCGGCTTGCCGACCGGAAGAAAGGCAGCACGCTGATTGGCTGGCAAGGTATTAAAATCCAAGCTCCTCCTTTCTCCCCACCTCCGCACCAGTGGTGCGTGAGGGAGAACGTGGAGTAATCGTGGATACGGGTAGTACGTTTCTATGGGTGAGGCCATGGGAGGAGAGGCTTGGGGAGGTCTACGGGGAGAACTGGAAGAAAACGCTCCCGTGGTTTAAGAGAGCTGCTGAAAATTCCGCGGCTTCAGTGAGCAAAGAGCCAAAGGGCGCAATTGGGCCGAGTAAGGGTGCCGAGCACAGCCCTCCAGGTGCCAAAGAATTTTAGGGCCCAGTCTAAGGGAGAGACATCGCAGAGTTGACATTTTCCCCCACTTTCGTGTAACCCGAGTGCTAATATCAGGGATTCGACTGCTTGGAAATATGACTCGTGGTTCACGTTTGCATTCCATTTTCTGTCTATAGAGAATTACATTTGTGAGCTCAGGTAATCCTCTGAACTGTATAAGGTGGTAGTTTTTCCACTGAACGTCCAGAAGTTCCAAAAGGACAAACATTACTTAAATCATCAAGTTGTAGAACTCAAACTAGAACCCATATTTTCTGAGGATGCTTTCCAGTCCACTCAGCCCACGTAGAAAAGTCAGAAGATTACATTCTTCCTCCCTCTTATAGTTGGTTAACTGGAGTGAAGATATGGCACTTTGGAAGACCTCTATGGAAATCGATCCACCATGAAGGCATTGTGAAGGATTCAAACCATAAATTTTTAAAAAATTGTTATTCTTACTTCTAAAGTCCTTTCAAAAGTTGGACAATAACGTGTGCATGAAGAAAAACCATATCCTGCACTGTGTTTAAAGACTCATGTTTCTATTAAAATGAGGGGGGAAGTTACTTCGAAATGACTTCAGTCTAAGACTATCATGAATTTCTTAGGGAAAAAACCAGAATTTATCAAGTGGGTGTTTGAGGAGAGAAGAAGAAGAAAGCAAAATTTCTGGTGCCTTTGGTTTTCACATTTGAGACATTGTAAATGTTCGCGTCTCCCTTACATCTTTTGATTCTTTACTTCTGTTGCTATTTCTCTTCCTCTTACCCCTCTGCTCACTCACCTTGGCTACCCAACGGCGCCAAAACACGCATCCACAACACATACACCAAATGGAGAGAGTATAGGGTTAAGGCCTTCAATTAGAGTTTGAAGCAGGAGAACTATTCCATTTCCTTCTTTCTCCCTCTTGAAGCCTAACTGCTTACAGAGAAGGGAAAATGGGCAGCTTTACTTTCCACAAAATATACCTACCATTCTCTCTTTCAAACAAAACACTTGTAGGACGTGAAAAGAAAGCATTTTGTCAAAAGAGAAATCTGATAAATGTTTCCAGTGTACCATTAAAGATTATGAGAGAACTAAGAATCTGTCCTATAATCATTTTCTCCCCTCACCCCTCATTCATACTATTAAAATACTCTCCTAAGCCAAACTTGTTTTGCACAAATTGATCAAGAAATACCCCTGAAATACAAATAAGCACCAAAGATTAAACTAGCACTCTATGTTGGTGCATTGTATCAACTATGTGGCCAATCTTCCTGAATTAAATACAGGCAGATAATTCCACTTAACAATGTTAACAACCAACATTTGTACAAACTCTGGTTTATATTATTCCATCTGATTCTCACAACCGTAATAATACCGTAACCGAAGTAATATAGCAGCTATTGTTATTTTTCCCTCGTTAGGAATGAGGAATGATGGTTTCAAAGAGAGTGACTTGCCCAAGATGATGTGATAAGTGATAACTTGCTAAATATGAAATACAAAATTATGAGGTAAAGATATTTACAAAAAGCTTTTCAAAATAAAAATAGGAGAAACCTTCATTTTTTTCTTCCAAATATTTTATTTAACTCTAATGGTAAACCTAGCATGGTGATTTATGGGTTGACACACAGTAAAGCCTGAGGCATTGGCAAACTCTTTCTTTTTTAGTATTATCCTTAAGGTAAACTAACTGGAGGATAGATGTAATTAAGAAAAAGTAAAAGGTCAAGTAGAAACAGAAAAGATGCAAAATGAGACATTGCAACAATAGCCAGAACCTCGGAGCAGAGCAACATGTTTTACTAAAACCAGGAAAGTAATGTCTTCCCCAGTCAAGCCTGCAGTCAAGGGGAGAGAAAGAAAGCATTCTGGGAGAAAGCCAGTCATAGACAGCAGCTAGGTCAGGTTTGGGGGAAGCTGTAACTTAGCAACTTTTCTTTTGGATTGTTTCATGAGTACAGCTAGAGAAGGTCAAGACACTGGTTTATGCATCCCTGGAATGATGATTTCAAGTATTTTGTAGATGGAAAAATGAAAGGACAAAATCACAAAACTTTTCTGAGAGACTATATTGTATTTTATAATAATAATCTTCGGTAATGTTTAATAAAATCACATCTTTAAGATTCCTTGCCTTAGCTGGGGCTGACATAACAAAATACCATAGACTGGGTGGCTTAAAGAACAGAAATTTTTTTCTCACAGTTCTGAAGGCTGTAAGTGTTGAGATCAGGGTGCCAGCACAGTGGGCTTCTGGTGATAGCTCTCTTCCTGGCTGCCTTCTCACTGTGTGCTCCTAGGGCCTTTCCTCCAAACATGATGTCTCTCTTCCTTTTCTTAAAAGGGCACTAATCCCATCATGAGGATCCACCCTCGTGACTTCACCTAAACCTAATTATCTCCAAAGACCTCATCTCTAAATACCATCACATTAGGGGTTAGGGCATCAACATACGAATTACGGGGGTACACAATTCAATCGATAGAATTCTTCAAAGGAATACTTTCTATGTACAGTGTATATTATCTATAAATTAAAAAGGAAGTAAAAGTTAGACAAGATGTTAATGAGAGAAGACAATTTGTGGACAACATAATGTTAAAATCTTGTGGAGGAAAAGAATACATTCTTAACGAATTTTAATAAAACTGTCTATAGAGAAAAGCTATAAACACTATGAAAAGTGTAGAAGTGTCTTGCCCAAAAAAGTGGCTAAATTTCTAGCTAGGCAATTTAATTTGTTTTTTTCCATTAGCAGGTCTGAATCTTGGCAGCTTTTAAGCAAGTTTGACTACCCAAAGAATGCTGTTTTGTGATAAATGGAAGAGTTAGATAAAGCTGTGATTTTTTTTGGTAATAGTTTCAAAAACAGCCTTAATTCTGGGCCATATATGAATCTAAGATTTGGAGGTGGTCATAAAGATTAGTCCCTGCTCCATTTTCCCTCCCCGGTCCCTTTTCCTCCCCACAGTTATATTTCTTGATGTCTACCTCAAGAGCCCATCCCTGCTTGCAAGCCAAATCTGACCAAGCCTGAGTGTCTCATCAATCCTGACCCATAGGAATCATGCAGGCCTCTGGCTGACGAAGCAGAGTGCCAAGTAAGAACTCTGGATTAGAGTGTAGGCTTCTAACTCCCGTATCTGTTATTCCCTATAATCCTTTTCCACTCTATAGCACTGGACTTCTCCTTTGGTTTCCTGTTCTAATTGGAACTTCAGCCTTTTCCAGAACCCCATCCAATGTGGAGAAGGTATAAGCTTGTTTAGATAGTTGTTCACTAGTCCCAGTTCTGACCAGACCCTAGGTCACTGCTAGGGTCCTGCTATAATGAATTACCTTCAAACTACCAAACTTCTTCAAATGTCACCCACTGACTAGGATGACTGGATTACGATATCCTTCTGGTCAGGACCACATTGGTGCCAAAGCTTGCCTAAGCCATGTCTGAACTTCATGTGCCTTTTGGACAGTGAACAGAGGACTTGTTGGGGTCAGCATTTGTGTCTAATTACATTTCTTTAGTCTCTGTCATGCTTGGTCTTAACTCTATCCCTCTCTTCACCAGGCTCACATGGCTTCGTCCTCCCACCTGTTCCTATTATGCTATTGATGCCATATCT